ACAGCTTGCCTAATCCAGCCGTCACAAGATATGGAACGGCACAGCCGGTTACTGCAATAACCGAGGCTGTACTACTCATGTGGTACACACACAGCTTCGCTGTGTTCGCACTGCTTCTCTGTGCGACTGTGCATCCTGGGAATGTACTGTATAGTACTACGTAGCCACAGATGTACAGTAGTATATATAGGGGACCTCTGTACCCCCAATCTACAGTTCAGTTCACTCGAACATCTCCTCTCATCGCTCTAACAAGCCTCTTACAACCAACAACCCTTCTAGGTGAGTTGCAGGCTATCCGCTGTCGTTGCCACCCGTGGGAGAGGACTTCGCCCCCCCGGGTTCAACACGAGGGAATGGAAGAAGTATGAAGTCAAGTTGCCTATGCATGCGATGTCGCCGTGTCAGACTGATATGGGGTCAGGCGACGACAACGTCATCGCGGTCAGATAACTTGATGATTTTGGACAGGCAAGTCCCCCTTGCAATAGCAATCTGCCAAAGCCGTTAGGGATGTGGAGGGAATCTGGAGAGAATGTGCATGTTCCCAGCAGATCCCCATCAAGGGGGAATATAGTGAGGAATCTGTGGGGAACATGCGCGGGATACGTAGATTCCCAGCATGGTCCCTGCCACCATAATCTGGCGCTTCACGCAGTGCAACGTATGACCGAGAAGGCATATGTGCGAAACGCCCTTCCAGCGCTTCATTCGCAATCTGCTCGCTCTGCATCTCATTGGACCAGGCCAGATAAACTTTCCCCTTTTGGTAAGATCTCTAGCGTGATGTGACTGTCAAAAGGACCGCATATCGCCTGATAACGAATTCTGCGACAGATCACCTCGGAATTCCTGCATATCCCCCACTCTACATACTCACATACTGAAACTAGCATAGAACTATTGTAATGTAGTGCCCCAATGGATGTGCGAGACTGATTGAGTATTGCTACAGTCGATCTGAAGAAATCTGAGTCACACGTTTTTTCTGTCAAAAGGAGTGGTGTATTACTGTACTCTTCATGAAGACTCCGTGTACTCTGCGTTCTCCTTGGACACACGGTCTGTTGGCTTTGCACACCTCAAGTGAGGAGCGCTGGATATTACACCTACGTACCTCCGTATGGATAGATCCCACTGACCCAGTCCCTAATTGGTGTGGTGATCCTTACCCTATTTGCCCTGCTAATGTGTACACCTGTCGATTCTCGCTCTATGTATAACCCTCAAAGTAATTCAGTCTTTGTTGGTTGGCTTGGCTGTTGTGATGCACCACAGACAGACAAGGCTCCTGCACAGCCTTGACATCCTATGTCTCTGTGGATGTCCTCAAACCCGGTATGCACTATCGGCTGGAAATTTTCAAAGCACATTCTGGTGCGCCTCGCTTGCAACAGGAAGAAGCGGAATGAACGCCCAATTTCGGGGAGCTCAGTGATAGAGTTTGTGGCTGTGTAGCACTCGCGTGGCTCGGAGAAGCCACAAACGCGGTCGCGTCCTGTCCAGTGTCCACCGTGCGCGCCGCGTCGCGCACTTGCTCTCTCTCCGTGTCCACCACCATGGCCGACTTTTCCAAGCCTCCACCGACGATGCAGCGCAAGTCGCGCGTTCTTGCCGCCCTTGACAACCCTGATTTCCTCTACAACACGCCCCCGCAGCCTTTGCCGCCTACCCCGATATTGCCGCCCCCGTCCTTGGGTCCCTACCAGACCCCAATGAAACAACGGCCCACAACCCCCTCGCCATCATTTGACTATGACAGCGCATATATGGGCCTTGTGAGCTCCTCGCAGCGGCAGAAGCGAAAGTCTCCGGACCATGAATCCGACGACGATGACGAAAGGGAAGCAAGCGGGTCGTCGCCCGCCCCGCCCCACGGGAGCCAGCTCATAGCCAACCAGGGCTTCAACCTGCATTACGACCAGGAGGGCCCTGTCTATCCGATAGACCGGGGTGGTCCAGACCAGGAGATGAAGTGCGTGCTCTTTCTTTCTCGTTTGGGGAAGTACTGTACTGAACACAGACCACCATGTCAATCTCATTTCGCGCATACAGGATGGCT